AACTATAATGGAAGCCACAGATACAATTTTAAATTTAGAAAATGTAGAGATAGCCAAGTTAAAAAAAGTGAAATTAATTTCAATTATATATTTTATTTACTCAACATATCCCAATCATTAACATGTAACATATAAAAAATGATTAATGAGCCGAAACCGGTTTGGCTCAGTGGATAGAGCGTCAGCCTGCGGACTGAAAGGTCCCAGGTTCGATTCCGGTCAAGGGCATGTACCTGGGTTTCGGGCACATCCCCAGTGGGAGGTGTGCAGGAGGCAGCTGATCGATGTTTCTCTCTCATCGATGTTTCTAACTATCTCTCTCCCTTCCTCTCTGTAAAAAATCAATAAAAATATATAAAAAAATGATTAATGAGATACTTTTCATTCTTTTTTGAACTCAGCCTTTGAAACCCAGTGGTTTTTACACTTACAGCACATCCCAGTGGCCACATTTCAAGTCTTCAATGGCCACAGATGGGCAGGAGTGGCTGTTCTAGAATTTCTTAGCTCTGGCTCTCATCCTAGTTATGCCACCTTTGTGGCCTTGGGCTAGTCGTTTTACCTCTCTGGGCCTCAGTTTTTTGTTTTTTGGTTTTCATCTTTAAAATGGGGACTAACTCTGCCTCAAGGAGTAGTAGGTATTAGGGGCAGATGGTGAGCGTTTAAAACCCCTTTGCCCACTTCCTCACCAGCCTCATTCTCTCGGCCAGGGCTAGTCCATGCTGAACGCAGAGGGCGGCCTGGGTGGTAGAATCACTGAGCTGAGCTGGGAGGGACGCCCAAGCTTTGCTCTGCGGCCTTGTGCAAGTCACCCACCTCTCTGGGCAGCGGCAATCTCAGCTGATTGGATGACCTCATTTGAAAAGTTTCTTCTAGCCCTAACCGGTTTGGCTCAGTGGATAGAGCGTCGGCCTGTGGACTCAAGGGTCCCAGGTTCGATTCCGGCCAAGGGCATGTACCTTGGTTTCGGGCACATCCCCAGTAGGAGGTGTGCAGGAGGCAGCTGATCGGTGTTTCTCTTTCATGATGTTTCTAACTCTCTATCCCTCTCCCTTCCTCCCTGTAAAAAATCAATAAAATATATTTTTTAAAAAAAAGAAAAGTTCCTTCTAGATCATGTTTGCCAGGGAGGGGCTGTTCATTGTAACTAACTAGAATTAATGGAGCAGTTACTCCATGGCCGGTGTTTGCTCTTAAGCTCACGCAAACATAATAGCAGTTTGAGGTTGGTGCTGTCACTGTCCCCTTTTTCCACACGAGGAAACTAAGCTCAACAAGGTTAAGTGACAAGCTCCTTTTGACCAGCAAAACGGACGCCGAAGGTCGTTAGGCACGTAACCATTACTTTTTTAGGGAAACTTTTTACAGAAACAAAAGTACCCCCAAAACAAGTGTGTAACCTGACGCATTTTCACACAGAGAACACACCCAGCTCAAGAAACAGAACATGACTTGTGCCCACAAGCCCCCTCATGCTTCCTCCCAGTCACTGCACTCCCTCCCGCAAGGGCGTGACGCTGGCATGACTTCTGTCGGCGTAGGTCGGTGTTGCCTGTCCTTGAACTTGATGAAGTTTGAATCACATATGGTGCATAATGGCTGCTTCTGCTCAACTTTATGTCTGCGATTTCCTTTCTGTGGCTGTGTGTAGCGGGGAGCTGGCTCCATCCCCAGTGATATACAGTGGCGTATAGTGAAGTGTTCTGTATGAATAAGCCACGGTGGATTTATCCATTCTCCTGCTAATGTCTGCCTGGGCGGTTTTCAGGTTGGGGTTGTTAAATAGTGCTGTTGCCAGCAATTCTTGCACAAGTCTTTTGGTGGACATACATGTTTTTGTTTGTTTTAGAGCTGAGAGTGGAGGTTTGGGTTCAGAGGTTTGGCTCCTTTTAATTTTCTACATTTTCCAGATTTTATAATTAGAGAAACAAAGGTGAAAGATGGACTTGCCCAAGATACTGGTTAGAGCCCTGGCGGGTGTGGCTCAGTTGGTTGGGCGGCGTCCTGTGCACTGAAAGGTCACCGGGTCGATTACCAGTCAGGGCACATGCCCGGGTTTCGGTCCTTTGCTCTTGCTTCAATGTTTCTCTCTCTCTCTCTCTCCCTCTCCGTTCCTCCCTCCCTAAAACCAATTTAAAAATCTTTAATTAAAAAAAGGATAATGATTAGAGATCAAAACTTGCACTCAAATATAGATCCACAGATGGATAGATATGGATAGACACACGCACAACACACACCCATTTAACATTTTCAGAGCTTTTCCCACATCTATTATTTTTTATTTCACCCTCTTACACCCCCGGCAGATAGACGCGCTGCCCTGGTTTTACTGAGGAGAAAACGAGGCTGTGGGAGGTTCCAGGAGACAGAAAGATGAAATAACAGCTGTGGATGCACTTTGCACAAGCGGGAGAACTCTGCAGATTCGTTTCCCTGCGCAGGGCTTGCTCATCCGTACCACACAGCTTCCAAAGAACAGACAGATGCACAATTCCTCAGTGCGGATTATTCTACGGCAACAAATCTTTATCACAGAACCTTGGGTTTTTTCCTCCAAAAGGAGGCTGGCTTCTGAGGATACATTAAACCCATCCATCCTCTTTGTTTCTGGCAAAGTTTTATGACTCAGTTAAAATCGAGATCCTTTGGAAAGGGAAGGCGCCGGTCTCCCTGGGTGGGACGCCTTAGGTAAGAGTGATCAAAGGAAGGTCTGCTGTGAGGCCGCCTGGTGAGGCATGGTTTCCCTCCTTCACTGAATCCACATGGCAGTTCTGGGAGAAAGGTGCTGTTAACCTCAGCTTACAGACCAGCAGGAGTAGCCAGGAGGTGGAATGCATCGCCTCCGCCCATAGTAGGGCCTGCTTGGTGGGAAGGAACTGAGAATCCTGTCTTATTGCTGTTTCTCAGGGCCTGTTGTGTCCACTTGAACTGGCTCAACTAGGAAAAGTACGCGTTGGTACCGCTGAGGCTTCCTGGTCACAGGGGTCACAGATGGACCTCTGAGGGTTGGGAGGATCGTTTCTGGGGCTGAAGGCTCCTTCCTCCTCCTCTCCTGGGGCAGGGGGTCCCTCCCCACCCCACCATCCCCGCTCCTTTCTCTGCTCCGTTCTCCGCCTCTTTCTGCTGATCTGTCTTCTTTGTTTATTTATGGCTTTTCTGCTCTCCCAAAACTTGCCCTGGATTTGGTCATGGCTGTGGCCCGACTCCAGCCTCAGGATCCTTAGCTTTCCATCATCTGTCTGCCCAGCATTTCCATTCTACATCCCCGAGAGAATCTGCCTGGTTCATATCGGGTCACATATCCATCCTGGTCCAGTCAGCTGTGGTCAGGGGTGGCCTGTGGAACCATTTGGGATGGGACTCAGGTCTGTGTGCCTGCTTTTCCCCCCTGCATCCCTCTGCAGTGGTGCTGGAGCTGGGGATGCATGGTGTGCTGGGGTCCTGTGATCTGGACGCCAGGGGAGAGGCTGCTGGGCTGGGGAGAAGCTGAGGGAAGTCCAGCTGTGCTGATGGCTTCCGGAGTGTGGTGGGCAGGGGAGAAGCTCCCAGGCCTGGCGGACAGGTAGTTCTGAGAAAAGCAGACTTCATCACTGAAATGGACAGTGTCGCCTTGTTTCTGTAAGGGAAGAGACCTTGTTGGAGACCTGAATATGGTTGAACACATCACAGAGAAACCGGAGAAGTCATCATTTACTCTGTTGGGCATCTGGATCCATGATCTTATCAGTTTCTTCCCCAACTCCTGTGAGGTCTGGTTTCTCATCTCCATCCCCAGGCTGTGCAGGCCCAGAAAGCTCAAGTGACTTGCCCAATGGCCACAGAGAGAAAGTGGAACAGAGATTGGGGCCTGAGCCTGCCTGACGTAAAACACATGCTTCTCACTATTGCCCTCCATCTTTGTTACCATGGTAACATTTGTTCAGGACTCTACAGCATATCATATTCATGATCTTCTGGACTATTCAGCACCCCTTTGGGACAGCACAGCTTATGTTCCCATTTTACCTCGGAAGAACTGATGGTCAAAGAGGAATTGTGACTTGCCCTCGGCTACCTGCTGGTCAGTGGCAGAGCTGGGACCAGAACCCACATCTTTGGGACTCAAATATATCAATAGGTATTAATATGTCAAAATATAGCAATGTTATTGCTAGTAGTGTGGATATATATATATATACATATATATTAAAAGCATAATATGCAAATCAACTGAATGGCCGAACAGCAGAACAACCATCTGGACAACCTTACGGATGAAGCCGGGGCTGCGAGGGCCGAGGCAGCCAGGACTGCGAAGGCCTACTCTTGCATGGATTTTGTGCATCGGGCCTCTACTATATATATAATGTACAGAATTGTTGAAGAAAAACAGTGAATATATCATCCCCTCCAAAAGTATATATACATATAACACACATACAGATTAAAGAAGAAAAATAAACACCCATGTACCCTCCATCACCTTAAAAAATAGAACATCATTGTCCAGCTGGCGTGGCTCAGTGGCTGAGTGTCGACCTATGAACCAGGTCTGATTCCTGTCACGGACACATGTCTGGGTTGCCGGCTCAATCCCCAGAAGGGGGAATGCAGGAGGCAGCCAATCAATGATTCTCTCTCATCATTGATGATTCTATCTCTTCCTTTCCCCTCCTCCCTGAAATCAATAAAAAGATATTAAACAACAACAAAAAAATAGAACATCATTGATACCTTTCAAACTCCTCCACAGTTATATTCCTGCATCCTTTCCTCTCCAGGTATAATTTTATATTTAATGTTTGCTTGCTTTTCCTCATGTGTTGCCACATATTTATACCTCTAAACCGTTTGTTTCTTGCATGTTTTTGACTTTGGCCCTCAGCGTTATGTTGGTGAGAATGCGTGCCGCTTTGGTCTACCAGTTTTGCTCCTCTGCAGCACCTCATCGTGGGAATATGCCCCATCCCATCACGCTGTTGATGGATGTTGGGGTGGCTTCTTGTTGTCTATTACAGCCAGTGCTACCGTGGCCGTTCCGGCTGCTGTCAGCTGGGGAACACCTCCAAGAGTGTCTGTCATGCATACCTGGGAGTGAAATTACTGGGCCGTGAGGTAGTCACCACACAGTTTGCTTTATGAGGTAATGCCAAATTGTTTGCTAACGAGGCTCCTCCAGTTTAGACTCTCCTAGTGGTAGCTGACAACTCCTGTTGCCCTACACCCTCATGAATGACATGACATGATCAGATTGGAAATGTTTACCCATCTGTTGGGTGAGAATGGTCTCATTGTTGTTTTAATTTGTACTTTCTTTCTTTTTTTAAAAAAATATATTTTATTGATTTTTTACAGAGAGGAAGGGAGAGGGATAGAGAGTTAGAAACATCGATGAGAGAGAAACATCAATCAGCTGCCTCTTGCACGCCCCCCACTGGGGATGTGCCCGCAACCAAGGTACATGCCCTTGACCAGAATCGAACCTGGGACCCTTCAGTCCGCAGGCCGATGCTCTATCCACTGAGCCAAACCAGTTAGGGCTGTACTTTCTATTTTATTACCTGAGGTGTGATGGGAGAGAGATCATTGACTGTAGCGCTACAGTCTGTATCTCCAATGGTAGCTGGATTATGGGAAGTTCCCCCAACTGTGTTCAGGATGGGGAAGGACAGCAGGCAGGAGGGGCCGGGGAGGGGGACGCAGAATGGTGAGGCTTCTTGCAGAGCTGCAGCCAGCATTTCTGACCGAGCCCATCCATCCCGTCCTTCTTCCCAGGATGTCACCCACCAGCCTCTCGGGACTTTCGGAGTCCACGCCTTTCCCTGGAATGAGGTCATTGGAATGCCTGGAACCCAAGGAGTGACCGAGGCATGGGCTTGTGGGGCAAGCACACCAGCCTTCCGTGAAAAATGACGGCGCCTCTCGCCCAGACTGTCTGGAAGGAAGAAAATTCCAAACAGTCCAACCCAATTTCGCATTTTCCATGTGAACCAAAGTGGGAGGAATCTTTACAGAAACTTCTGGGGTGGGGCAGGAGGGATCCTATTTTCACCTACTACCCGAGATCCCAACCCAACTTCACTCCTGGAAGCACATGTGCCTTAGGCCTTTCTTCCTGAATTGAGACAGTGTGGAGAAGAATGGAAATTTCCACTCCCACCTGGGTGACCTTGGGCAGGTGACATCACCTCTCTGAGCACTGGCTGGCTCTTTGTCAGTAGGGGGCCATGTTCCCGCATCACAGATCAGGTGACAGCTCCAGGGCCAACTCTGTGCCTGGAACATACCAAGAGCCCCATGAAAGAGATTCTAATAATATTCTTCAAACGGTGGGAATATTTTGGAGCAGGTGGCTTAAGATTGTTTTTTGTGTTTTTGTTTTTTTAGAGAGAATTTTGTAAGAGTTTATTTGAGCTGAAACTCAAGATTGGTTTTCTTAAATTGAGACTGTTTTCGCTCCTCTAAGCAGATATATTTTTTTAATTGATTGATTTTATTTTTATTTATTTATTTATTTATTTTAAATATATTTTATTGACCTTCTCACAGAGAGGAAGAGAGAGGGGTAGAGAGTCAGAAACATCGATGAGAGAGAAACATCGACCAGCTGCCTCCTGCACACCCCCCACTGGGGACGTGCCCGCAACCAAGGCACATGCCCCCGACCAGAACCGAACCCGGGACCCCCCAGTCCGCAGGCCGACGCTCCGTCCACTGAGCCAAACCGGCCACGGCTAATTGATTGATTTTAGAGAGAGAGAGGAAGGGAGAGAGGGGGAGACACATCAATTCATTGTTCCACTTAGCTTTGCATTCTTTGGTTGATTCTTGTATGTGCCCTGACTGGGGATCGAACCCACAACTTGGCAAATCGAGACGAAGCTCCAACTAACTGAGCTACATGGCCAGGGCTCAGCAGATATTTTTAAAAGATGAAACACCCGTCCCGACCGGTTTGGCTCAGTGGATAGAGCATCAGCCTGCGGACTGAAAGGTCCCGGGTTCGATTCTGGTCGAGGGCATTTACCTTGGTTGTGGGCACATCCCCAGTAGGAGGTGTGCAGGAGGCGGCTGATCGATGTTCCTCTCTCATCAGTGTTTCTAACCCTCTATCCCTCTCCCTTCCTCTCTGTAGAAAATGAATAAAATATATTTAAAAAATTTTTCACCATGAAAAATGTTCAGGGTTTTCATTTCTTTGCTAACAAAATGGTGTTTTGCTTTTGCCTTTGGGGGGAAGGGGTTTAAGAGTCAAGCATGCTCACTCCAGGAAATTTGGAAATTTCATAGAATAGAAGAAAAGTCACCCCCCCCCCCCCTTCCCAATTTCTAGAGAAACACATCCTAACAATTTGGTATCTTTCCTGGCCTGGCCTTTTTTTTTTTTTCTTTTTTTTTTCCCCCCTCTTTTCTTTTCCCTGCTTTTCTGTGCACAGGGTTGTTTTGTTTAGTTTCCACTGAATAAATAGAAGGATTTCTGATTCACGATTTACAGAGCTGCTTATGTGTCCTTGTAACAAGCCTGTGATGCTCCCAACAGCGATGATACTTTCTCGCTCTGGGAATTGTGGGGGCGGGGCGCATGGCCCTGCCCGATGCTCAGGACACTTTGGAGAATGCCAGTTTCGCTGCACCGGGGCGGCGCTAAGCAGTATCCTTTTACTCCTCTAGTTAATCGCAAGTGTCTCACTTGTTCTTCTAGAACCTAATTCTCTATTTTTCTTCTTTTTAAAACCCCAGAACTCAGAACATGTGCCCTTCTCCATGAACTCCCAGGGATCCGTTTGTTTTGCCTTCTCCCAGCTCATGCATTCTTCGAGTCTTGGTAACTGGAATGTTTTGTCTGTTCAGGCTCACAACCATCAGTGGGACAGGAACCAACGTCAAGTACCTCATGATGCGTCCAGACGAACCTGGGAAAACTGGGAGCTGCCGTCTGGACTTCCTCTGAATCAGCTGCTATTTCTTGGTGTCTCTAGTTTTAAAAGCTCCCCAGGGGCAACCTGAAATCCCCTACGGTCTCAGAATAGGATGGGGAAGGGATTCTGAAGTCCCCATCAAACATGTTTATCTCACAAACCTCGGAAGGAGCCACAACGCCAAAGGCAAGAATCTCAGGGCACTGCCCACACTGGTGTGATACCCTGACCCCTGTCTAACAAAGCCAGCATGTGTCCGGTGGGCCTGGCCATGTGTGGGGCAGCGTTCCAGAACAGCGAGACATCCCGGCATTCATCTGGTTTAGGACAGACCTTTAACTACCAGCTGGTGGCCACCTCAGTGTTCTTTAAATAGTCCGGCCTTGAGGTCTCTTCACTGTGGTCTGTTCTGATGCATGGCCCCACCAGTATGAAACAGGATGACTTTGTTCTGTGGGCGAGACAACTGTGAAAGCGGCAGCTGTGTGTGTCGGAGTCTATGGAGAGCCACCTAGAATGTCCCCGACAAACCAGTCGGTGGAAGGCCTTCTGCAGGAGGCCTCCAACGGGTCTCTGAATGCTACGGACACTCCAGCAGCCTGGGACCCGGCGACCCTGCAGGCCGTCCAGATTTCTCTTGCTGTGGTTCTTGCCATCATCACGCTGGCCACAGTCCTTTCCAACGCCTTTGTGCTCACCACCATCTTCCTCACCAGGAAGCTCCACACCCCCGCCAACTATCTCATTGGCTCGCTGGCCACGACTGACCTCTTAGTCTCCATCTTGGTCATGCCCATCAGCATCGCCTATACCATCACCCACACCTGGACCTTCGGCCAAACCCTGTGTGACATCTGGCTGTCTTCTGACATCACGTGCTGCACGGCCTCCATCCTGCATCTCTGTGTCATTGCTCTGGACAGGTACTGGGCCATCACGGACGCCCTGGAGTACAGTAAACGCCGGACCGCAGGCCATGCGGCGGCCATGATCGCCATCGTCTGGGTCATCTCCATCTGCATCTCCATCCCACCTCTCTTCTGGCGGCAGGCCAAAGCTCAGGGGGAGATGTTGGACTGCCAGGTGAACACTTCCCAGATCTCCTACACCATCTACTCCACGTGTGGGGCCTTCTACATCCCGTCTGTGTTGCTCATCATCCTCTACGGCCGGATCTACCTGGCTGCCCGGAACCGCATCCTGAACCCACCATCCCTCTACGGGAAGCGCTTCACCACAGCCCAGCTCATCACAGGCTCTGCGGGGTCCTCCCTCTGCTCTCTCAACCCCAGCCTTCACGAAGCGCACTCTCATTTGGCCGGCTCTGCTCTCTTTTTCAACCAGGTCAAAATCAAGCTTGCCGACAGCGTGCTGGAGCGCAAGAGGATTTCCGCGGCTCGGGAAAGGAAGGCCACCAAAACCCTGGGGATCATCCTGGGGGCCTTTATCATCTGCTGGCTGCCCTTCTTTGTGGCATCTCTTGTCCTCCCCATCTGCCGGGACTCCTGCTGGATCCACCCAGCCCTTTTCGACTTTTTCACCTGGCTGGGCTATTTAAACTCGCTCATCAATCCCATCATCTATACTGTGTTTAATGAAGAGTTCCGGCAAGCATTTCAGAAAGTGGTCCATTTCCGGAAAGCCTCCTAGTCTTATTTGGTGGTGACTCTGGCTATCGTTTGTGTCCTATAACCCAATTGGAATGGCCTTTTTTTATTTCACCTGAGATTTGGGTTAATCCTGATATTTGGGGTTTGGGTTCAATCCACAGAATTGTTGTGTGTTTTTTTTATTCCTGTTGTCTTCTTGACTTCTAAGCCACCAAAAGCTGGGAAGCTGAGTGAAAGGGGACAAAGACTGAAGATTTCACTTAGCATAATATTTTCAGGGTTCATCCATGTTGGAGGAAACATGACCCATCGGGTTCCCCATTGATGCAATTCAGGTGGGGAACTGACTCTGTGGGAAGAGCCAGGCTCAAAAGCGGGGCTTTCTGGTCTACCAAAGTTTTTTTATGGAACTCAAAGGAGGGTGGATGAGATTAATGGCCTGAGTTGAAAGAATTTGGAGGGAGGAAGGAATCTCCATTCCATGTGGCACCTTCATTGGAAAATAACACCAAGGGATTTCATCCTCTGATTCCTTCTCAGATGGAATCTCCCCCCGTTGTTCATTTAAGGTGATAACAATGTAGAGTGACAGAGAGAGATTCAGAACCTGGGGGCAGTGGAGTGGAAAGATTGGAACCAAATCAACTATCTTGCTCCCTTCCTCCTTCTCCAATATCTCTGCACCCTATGAATGTTCTGAAGCTAAAACCCACAATCACCCCCACTGAAGTAGATTGACAGGCTTTGAACCCACCAAGGTTTGAGTGGAACACCATTCTGATTTTTCCCCCTGAATTTTTACATGCCATTCTCATTAGAGATCTTAAAAATGTTGAGTCTTATCAAATAAAAAGCATGAGACACCATGATCAGTAAAGTCTTTGAGTAATTTTCCCCCTCTCCCTGGATGTAGAAACCTTTCAGTTCAATTTTGTCTCCAGCATTTATTGAGTACCTACCACATGCCAGGCCCTGTGCCAGAATCCTGGCATTTGTTATCTCATTGGAACCGCCTAACAATGAAAGTCAGTGTAATATGATGACTAGAGCAAAGGATCTGATACCTCAGTTCAAATCCAAGGACTACCAATTTCTATCTGGGTAACCTTGCACAAGTTTCTTAATCCCTCTTTGCCTCACTTTCCTCAACTGTAAAATGGCAATAATAATAGGTATGTTATTGTATATTTTATTTATTTTTAAAATTTATATTTATGGTTGAAAGTATCACAACAATGTAATAATACTTGACCCCTTCCTCCCCACTTTCACCTCCTCCTCAGACCTTCACTGCACTGTTGTCTGTGTCCATGGGTTATGCATATATGCATATAAATTCTTTGGTTAATCTCTTCCTGCCCCCTCTGAGAATCGTCAGTCTGTTGCATGCTTCCATGTATCTGGATCTGTTTTGTTTGCCAGTTTATTTTGTTCATTAGATTCCACACATAAATGAGATCATGTGATATTTGTCTTTCTCTGACGGGCTTATTTCGCTTAGCATAATACTCTCCAGATCCCTCCACGTTGTCTCAAAGGGTAAGAGATCCTTCTTTTTTACAGTTGCATAGTATTCCATTGTGTCAATGTACCACAGCTTTTTTAAAAATATATATATTTTATTGGTTTTTTTACAGAGAGGAAGGGAGAGGGATAGAGAGCTAGAAACATCGATGAGAGAGAAACATCGATCAGATGGCTCCTGCACACTCCCCACTGGTGCCCGCAACCAACGTACATGCTCTTGACCGGAATCGAACCTGGGACCCTTGAGTCCACAGGCCAACACTCTATCTATTGAACCAAACCGGTTAGGGCACCACAGCTTTTTTTTTATCCATTCATCTACTGATGGGCACTTGGGCTGTTTCCAGATCTTAGCTGTTGTAAATTGTGCTGCTATGAACATAGGGGCACATGTATTCTTTCTGATAGGGTCTATCACTATTACATTTCTTTTTATTGACAGAGAATATTCTCTTGTATGGCTATACCACATTTTATTTACTCATTCATCTGTGGATGGACAGTTGGGTTGGTTCCACTCTTTGGCTATCATGAACAATGCTGCTATGAACTTTCTTGTACAAGTTTTTGTGTGAACATATGTTTTCATTCCTCTTGGGTCCATACTGAGGAGTGGAATTGCTGTGTCATATGGTAATCTGTGTTTGCCCTTTTGAGGAGCTGCCAGACTGTTTTCCTAGGTGACTGCACCATGTTACATTTCCGTTCCAATCTGTGCACATGCTCAGCAGTATTCACTATTACCTTTTTTGATGAGAGCCATTCTAGTGGGTGTGAAACAGTATCTCACTGTGGCAGCTGACTTTTGTTTGAGGGCCAGATAGTAAATATATTCAGCTTTGCAGGTCATGTCATCTCTCTTGTAACTACTCAGCTCTGCCATTGTAATGTAAAAGCAGCCATAGGCAATGGGTAAATAAATGAGCTTGGCTGGATTCCGATGACATTTTATTTACTGAAATAGGTGGCAGCTTGCAAGCTGTAATTTGCAGACTTCTGATCTAGAAGAGCACCTTCCACCCCCAACCTACCTATCCATTCCCTATCCCCTTCTCTGGCTTTATTTTTTTATTATACTTATTACTGATGATGAAATATCTGTGTTAGTTCTTGCTTATTGTCTGTCTGCCACCTCTGGAGTGTCAGTTTCTTAAAGGTGGGGATCTTACTTGTCAAGTTTACTGTTTTGCTTCCCAACACACCACAGTGCCTGGCACATGGTAGATGCTCAATAAATATTTGTTTGAATGGATGAGCCAATGAATGAATGGAACACCATTTCTAGGTTTACAAATGACTTATTCTCCATGTCTTTGTCTTTAAAGTTTTAAGGTAAAGTGACCGACCCTGGGACTGGAATCTCACAGATCATGAGATTTGGTGTCAGGTAGGTCCTCAGTCAGACTCAGGGCAGTTCTATCCTGAGCGTAGCTGAGGCAAGAGAAAAGCGAGCAGGCTGGGTGACCCCAGTGTCCCCAAGAAGCCGTGGCTGGGACTGACCCCTAAGCATGCACTCAGCCGCTCTGTCCTTCCGCTCAGATACCCCTCCTCCGCAGTCTCTACACAGTGACAAAGGATCCGGCAGCTTTGGAGAATGAGCAGCTGTTTCTGGTCTTCCGTATTACAACCTGAAACCTGCCCACTTGGATGCTATGCCTGGAGAACTGCCCACTAACTAGGCCACATGAAAGTCAAGTTAAAAATAAACTTGTTTTTTAAAAACTTAAAAATAAATAAACTTGTTTTCCCGGACCACAGAGGAAGGCCGTATTCAGGACCATCCTCTACCCTCCCCCCTCCCCCAACATCCTTGTCATGCTCCTAATTCTTTCACACTTAGTCACAAACACATACACAGCATGATGATGATGATGCGTGTATGGGGAGGAGCAGGACAGGATCGTCTAGGAAAGGATTCTGCTAATTTCTGTATTTGCTAGTGTGGCAGACACTGCAGGGTGCCCACCTAGCAATCATCCCCGTTTCCTTGCTCACAGAACCACCCCTCCCCCCCGGCGCCCCGCCCCCCTATCAGTTCAAATGGCAACATGCCCAGTCTCCCAGGAGGTGAATCCTGATTGGTTTAAAACAGTTGGTATACCCTTATTCTCTTTACTAGGGATTAGTCAAGGGATAGCTATATGACCCAGTTCTGGCCAACAGGGTGTAAGTTGGGAGACCATCAGGTTAAAGGACTAAGGGGGTTCCCAGGACCTGGGAATTTCAGTTCTAATCAGAAAAATACCAGGCAGACCGGGACAAATTGGTCATGCATGGTGTAAGGGAAGTCAGCTGGGGCTTTGGGAAAAGAGACTTCTTACAGGAAAAGAGAGACATACAAGGAAAAGAAAAGAAAAAAGTTCTTCCTGCTTGGAAGCAGCCCTGTGAGGATGGGGATGGGAAGGAGGGCAGCTGTCCCATGATCCTGCAGGGAAACACTGCGGACGCCGGCAGGATGGCAGAGCGGGAAGAGCCAACCCAGGTCCTTAACCACAGGATGAGGCCCCGGAGCAGCCCTGGGACCACCTGTCCCAGATTGCGTGTTAAGTGAGCAACAACCATTCTTATGGTTTAAACCCGTGGTTCTCAACCTTCCTAATTTCGCGACCCTTTCATACAGTTCCTCGTGTTGTGGTGACCCCCAACCATAAAATTATGTTCGTGGCTACTTCATCACTGTCATTTTGCTACTGTTATGAATCATCATGTAAATATCTGATCTGCAGGATGTATTTTCATTGTTACAAATTGAACATAATTAAAGCATAGTGATTGATCACAAAAACAATATGTAATTATATATGCGTTTTCCGATGGTCTTAGGCGACCCCTGTGAAAGGGTCATTTGACCCCCCAAAGGGGTCGCGACCCACAGGTTGAGAACCGCTGGTTTAAACTATTCACTGACTTTTTCTGTTACTTGCTGAACACATCCTAACACACCAGAAGGGCCATCTCTTGCTCCCTGGCCCTCCCGTAGGTTGGATGGTGGCAGGTTAGGCAGCATGAGGCACTTTCAGATTGGCACAGGCTTGGGGCCTCAGGTGGGGAAGGGGGGATAGCCAAAGGGTATTTCAATGTGACGAACAGTTTCTGTGCATTGGCTGCTTCGAGCAGTCACCCAGGGATTTCCAAGGCCGCACGCGTGCTCCCTGAGGCCTGAGGTTCCCTTGGCAGAAGAAATGGAGGCTCAGAGAGGGTGACTCATGTGCTGTTTAACGGGGAAACATTCGAGTAACGTGTCATCTGTGCTGTTGTCGGGGTGCAAACACAAACCCAGATGGGACAGCCCCCTACAGTCCAGGCCGTGTGTATAATCGTATGGGACCACTGTCTATCTGTGGACCAGTGTTGACTAAAAGGCCGTGATGCGGCCATGGCTGCAGTTTGAATCTAGGTTCTTTCCCATCCGAAGTGCATGCCCTTTCTCTTTACAGCAACGTCTTGGTTACATCACAAAGAAGAATGTTCCTCCTGGAACATTCTCAGTGACAGAGAGATCAGTGCCCATGAGACATCCAGTCCCTCTCCTGTCAGTACTGACTGTTCTTCCCACTGTGCCCAAGTCTGATTTCCAGTAACTTCCAGCTGCCCGCCCTGATCCTGCGCTTGTGAAACCTGGAGGCCAGGGCTGTGCCTCAGGCTGAGCGGCCTCATGCCCCGTCAGCCTTTCTTTTCTTAGCACGACTCAGCGAGGAGTTGGCCCATATTGCACTTGAGGTCAAACTCAAAGCACTGAATCTTATGGATACTCCTAATGCTTTTAAGCTGGCCACAGGCTCCCGCCCCCTCGCCCCTGATGCTATGGCTGCACAACTGAACCCATGGGGAGAGCTTTCCATCGATCCAGGCTACATTTCTTACGTAGTTTCTGAGCCCTGAGTCTGGCAGCCTCTGTGTGTGCTGTCTCTTCCAGCTCTGTGGGGCCTCATAGTAAGTGAGTCCCAATCATTAAAGAACTGTTCCATCCTCCGGGGACAGAGCCAGAGCCCTCGGATGACCTCCTCCATCCCTGCCAAACAAGATAAGGATGCCGCCGCCTCTGGCAGAGGTAATGGTACCAACCCCCCAACCCCACCCGTATTAGTCAGGGTTCCCTAGAGAAACAGAACCCCTGGGATGTGCATAGCTAGAGAAAGAGATTTATTTCAAGGAATTGGCTCTCACGGTGGTGGAGGCTTGGCGCGTCCAGAACCTGGTGGGGTGGCCAACAGGCCAGAGATTCAGACAAAAGATGACCCTTTGCGTCAGAAGGCAGTCGCTGTAGAACCAGGAAAAGCCAACATTGAGGACGAAGTCCAAAGGCCGTCCTCTGGGAAATTCCTCTTTTCTCCTATTCCGGCCTTCGACTGAATGAACGAGGTCCACCCACTTCTGGCGGGCAATGGGCTCTACTCAAAGCCCCCCGACTTAAACGTACATCTCACTCACAGAAACTTCTAGAATACTGTCTGACCAAATGTCTGAGCACAAGGGCGCAGCCGCGTCGGCACATAAAATCAACCATCACCCCCCTCTAGCCTTGACGGCCAGGCTCCCTTCCAGCATATGTCACTCTGACCTCTGATCTCTCATCAGACTCTGAGCCTGTAGAGGCTCTCATTGATCTTTGGACTCTTAGTACCTGACGCACAGCCAGTGTGCAGCTAATGACGGCAATAGCCAGCATTTACTGAGCTCTTACTGTGTGCCCAGCACTGCCCTGAGTGTTTTATGAGCATTTAACCCACATAAAGTTGGTCCTTTTATTATCCTCCAGATAAAGAACTGAAAGTCCTAAGAAATGACATTGTTTTCCTAGCATCACACTGCTAGTATGTGGTAGAGTCAAAATGCAAGCCATACAGTGATACCTCAAAATCCACACTTTTTTTCCCAAAATATATTTT